GTGAGTGAGTGAGTGAGTGAGTGAGTGAGAGATGCATGTATGTCACACCAATCAGATTGGATCTACTATACACAGCTAATCAAATTTCTCGTTGTAAAGGTAAATGGTATGTGAGAAGATTTGATCCCGATACCATTCAGAACGGCCATATCTATTCTTCTATAAAAAAGGAGGAAGTATTCATAAATTGGGCTTACTTCGACATCTTCTGTGGGTTAGGCTGAGGATTTGTGGGCGGGTTTGATGATCATTTGCAACTGGATAATCAAGCAAAGAAACAGTGTTTGGCATATAACTAAGAGCATGCGATGAAGGGTGAGCTTTTCCCATTAGATAAGGTTTTGAATTTAAGATGTGAATGAAAAAAAGGTTGATGTGGTTTCTATGATAGGAACAATTGTATTTTAGGGAGGCGGAATGCACTACTGGGAATGTGAAGAGGTTGCGACCAGGTTCAAATCGTTTGCATGTTGTATTGAAACCTAAATATTGCTGCAGAGTTCGTAATGAGTGTTCCAGGCGTGTCATTAATTTCAGCATCCGTTGATGAGTTTCAATGTAAAAAGCGAAGAGACTACGATTAATTTGGTTAACAGAACAAAAAGATATTATCTGACAATTTTACAATTATAATGGTTATTGTTTACCACTGGAATGAGAAGATACGTTTTAAATGAAACTAAATCATTTCTCTTCAATGTTATCGTGGTTTTCGGTTTTCGCCAGCACGAATTGTAGTAGAAGAAAAAGAAAATTGTTTTCGTTCAAGATTTAGTGAGGTACACTGTATATGAAGTCTTGAGCGTTTTATTGTATTAAACACAAGGACTTTGGTACTTGAAAAATAAAGACTGGCGTGTATTTTGCCGGTTTGAGATTTTCAGTCCGGTTTGGAGGGGAGGGTGACAGTTACATACATACATTGGGTTCTTTTAGAGTGCGTAATTTTCAGTGTAATGGTGGCTAGTTATATATGAACGAGATGAGTCTTAAGTTTTGAAGCAGTTCATGAGTTAGTAGTATGCAAATGGAACGAGATATTTTTATTTTTAGTTACAAAGGGTAACTTGATACTTTTGTTTCTCATAAGGAGTAAATTCAATTAGAGGTCATGAATCGTCGCTTCTTGTTCTTAGGACATGTTTTAGAGGAGACGAGACTATTTAGATTTGAAATAGTTCTAACGTTTACAATTGTAAGTGCAGGTAACAATTGTTTTGTTCTTGTTGTATGCAAATATAACAAGATATTTTTATTTTTTGGTTACAAAGGGTAATTTGACACTTTTGTTTTTCACAAGGGAGTAAATTCAATTAGAGCTGACGAATCGTCACGACTTGTTCCCATGAAATGTTTGAACAAACAAAACGAGATGTTGCTATTTTTAGTTACAAATGGTAACTTAACACTTTTGTTTTTTACATGGGAGTAAATTCAGTTAGAGCTGACAACTTATCACCTCTTGTTTCCAGGATATTAAACAAAAAAGAAGCTAACATCTTTGGACAGTTTTTGTGTCTGCAGCAGCAGTATAATATTCTTAATTCACGGGCATTTTATGACATTCGTTTCAGTCCGAGATCTTTTTTTAAAGGTAAAAAAGTATGGAAACTGTTCAAATGTTCTTTGAAGACTACGTGGCGCCAAATCAGATTTAATCAGACTTACAGTGCCAGATAGGTTATTTCTTTTTCTTGCTATTTTTGGCGAAGTTAAGTGTTGCTGCGTTCTGTAAGAGGTAAACTTATGACTCGTATAAAATGAGGAAAGTTTTCTCTTAACTTAAGTATTTCTATGCACAAATTTCTCTTTGGGGCTGGAAGGGCTATGTGGTCAGTGAGTGAGTGAGGGAGTCAAGCCTGTGTGCGTCACGCCAATCACAGTGTGGGTTGTATCAAATAACGAATCAAATTGCCTCTTAGAAAATAGGATGGTATCTACATTAATCTGGAGATTTTACATTGTACATTGTCATATCTAGGGAGAATCACATATGAAAAGTATTTTGTGTGACGCTCAGCTGCTTAAGACAGTTCCACAATAAGAATGCTTCCTAGGGGCAGGCTCTCCAAAAAGATCAGCGAAGTATTTCTTGAGTAAATAAGCAGAACTGACAAATTTATGACCATCAGGAAGCAAAGCATGTAGGACTTTGACCAAATCGATCAAAGCTTGTCCAGAGAGCTTATGTCTCAGGCTAAAGAGCATTACTATAATCAGTGCACCAAGCTTCTACACTTTAGCACCTTCGTATAATGGTACTTCATCATCATTTGTCTCACTGTCATCTATGGTCGCCCATTTGTTTCAATATTCGCTACATCTAATTCGCTGTCACTAAACTTAATTCACTGTCGCTAAAGTTAACTCGCTGTCGCTAAACTTCAATTCGCTGTCGCTAAAAATTAATTTGCTTTCGCTAAATTTCATTCGCTGTCGCTAAACTTAATTCGCTGTCGCTAAATTTTATTCGCTGTCGCTTAAGGTTACAGTATACCTTCAGGGGTGTCTCGCGCGCAAGCGATGTAGCGCGTGCAGTTTAAGCTGTAGATACCTAAACCCCTATATCAAATTA